AGCAGAAGGAGGAGGAGGAGAATGAGGAGGAGGAGGAGGAGAAGATAAGAGTAGGATACGGAGAAGGAGAAGAGGAGGAGGAGGAGGAGGAGGCGAGGAGGAAGAGGAAGAGGAGGGAGGAGGAGGAGGAGGAGGAGAGGAGGCGGAGGAGGAGGAGGAGGACGCGGAGGACGAGGAGGAGGATGGAGGGAGGAGGAGGAGGAGGAGGAGGAGGAGGAGGAGGAGCAGGGAGAGGAGTAGGAGGAACAAGGAAGACGAAGAGGAGGAGAAGGAGGATGAGGCGGAGGAGGAACAGGAAGAGCAAGAGGAGGACGAGGAGAAGAAGGAGGAGGAGGAGGAGGAGGGGAGGAGGAGAGGGAAGAGGAGGAGGGGGAGAGGAGGAGGAGGAGGAGGAGGAGAGGAGGAGGAGGAGGAGGAGCGGGAGGAGGAGGAAGAGCAAGGAGAAGGAGGAGGAGGAGGAGTAGGAGGACGAGGAAGGACGAAGAGGAGGAGAAGGGGAGGAGGAGAGGCGGAGGAGGAACAGGCAGAGCAAGAGAGGAGAGGAAGAGGAAGCGAGGAGGAGGAGGAGGAGGAGATGAAGAGGAGGAGGAGGGAGAGAAGGAGGAGAGGAGGAGGGAGGAGGAGGAGGAGGAAGGAGGAGGAGGAGGGGGGAGGACGAGAAAAAGGAGAAGGATGAGGATGAGGATGAGGATGATAATGAGGATGAGGATGATGATGAGGAGGAGGAGTAGGAACAGGATGAGGCGCAGGATGAGGAGGAGGAGGAGGAGGAGGAGGAGGAGGAGAAGAAGCAGGAAAAGGAGAAGGATGAGGAGCACGAGGAGGAGGAGGAGGATGAGGAGGAGGAGCAGAATGAGGGAAGGATGAGGAGCACGAGGAGGAGGAGGAGGAGGAGACGGAAGAGAGGAGGAGTAGGAGGAGGAGGAGGAGGAAGAGGGAGAAGAGCCAGGAGCAGGATAAGGAGGAGGAGGAGGAGGAGGAGGAGGAGGAGAAGGAGACGGAGAAGGAGGAGAAGGAGGAGGAGGAGGACCAGGAGGCGGAGATGGTGGAGGAGGGGGAGCTGGAGGAGCTGGAGGCGCTGGAGAAGGAAAAGGAGGAGGAGGCGGAGGAGGACAAGGAGGAGAAAGAGGAGGAGGAGAAGGAGGATGAGGATGAGGAGGAGGAGGAGGAGGAGGGAGAGAATAAGCAGGAGGAGGAGGAGGAGAAGAAGACGAAGGAGGAGAAGGAGGAGGCGGAGGAGGACGAGGAGGGGGAAAACGTTGAGAAGGAGGAAGACACCGATGATGATGATGATGATGATGATGATGATGATGATGATGTTGATGATGATGCTGATGATGATGCTGATGATATGATGATGGTGATGATGGTGATGATGATGATGATGATGATACTCATGATGATGCTGATGATGATGATGATGATGATGGATATGCTGATTATGATGATGCTGCTGTTGATGATGATGACGTTGATGCTGATGATGATGCTGCTAATGATGCTGCTGAGGATTAATATGCAAATGGTGATGATGATGATGACGATGATGATGACGTGGAGGAGGAGAAGACCTCACTTCCTCCTACGACGACGACGCAACGACAATCGACGACACTCTCAACTGGTCCCGCTCTGCCATGGCCGTCATTATCGGCTTTGGAGGCCCTTCTCGTCTCGGAAAGAGGCCTCTCTGCAAATCTGGACAAATTCTCCAACCCCTTGGGGGTCGGGCCATCGCAACGTTCTCTCATCGCTCTCGGGTCGATGGTGTGGTTCTTACCACAGGACGTGCACGCAGCGAGAAACCACTTGGGGGTGAAACTCAACGGGTGGCTAGCATGAATCGCCCGGGACGCCACCCTCACAGTCTCTGGGGCAAGAACACACGCCTCGACACAGAGGGGGGAAGATCTCCCACATGGAGCGACAACGTACTGACTGAATCAGGCATCAGCGACCACCATCTCACTGGACAGGCAGACCCACTTCGGACCACACTTAGAAAATTAGTGGGCCGACGCCTTGATTAGAAGAGACTGCTTCGGCTCTCGGCGGCCCTTCTCCAGTCGGCCAGCTCGGGTCGAAAGTTCGCCAGCTGCGGCGTCGATCGACGCTCTCCAGGCTCGTCGGCGGATGGTTGCGGCCGGGCAGTCTACCCTGTCTGTGCCAGGCAAGCTACCAACGATCGCTCCCTCACAGACAGACACAGACACAGCATGAGGTCAAGTCGAGCAACTGACAGCAGGCTGAAAGCACGGCTCAAAACCGACCTGCGATCGCTCCCTCCCCGCCAACGCCGAGGCCCTCCCCGCCCACGCGTCGGCAGTCAGATTGCCGCACGCCCAGAACAGATCCCACTCCGGGGTGATACTCTCAGGGGACTCACCAGGGCGGGGGGCATCCAGCCAACGTCAACATGATCGGTCTGGGTCCTGAATTCCCAGCTCTGGCACGCCAGGGTCCACAAGTCCCAATTTTGGCCCTGGGGGCACGGGAGGAGGAGCCTCGACCTCCGCGACTCGAAAATCGCCAGGTGGTCGGTCACGCCCGCGAGCGGGTCCTGGACCTCCGAGAGCGCCAACGAGAACGCAGGCAGCTCAGCTCTGGGGGCAATCTGCCTGTCCCCGGGGAGAGGCTTACACGGGAGCGGCAAAGAGGGGGGTGCCCAAGAGGGGGGGGTGCAAATCATGACCGGCGGCATGTGCGCGGCCCAGCGGGGGGGCCAGGGCCGTAATGAAATAAGAAGAGGCGCCATGAGATCTGGGGAAATATCATGGCCCGCGCCATGAAATCCCCCCCCCCCTAGTCATCACCCCCCTCTTTTCCGCTCCCGACTTGCACAGAGCGGCTCCGAGCGACGGCTCGCCAGCTGAATTCGCCCGGGCAGTGATGGCGGAACCGCGTCGTCGGCGACGGGGGACGTAACTGCTCCTTCCCCCGGAGCCGCCCCCAAAAATATGCAGCTGGCCGCCCTTGCGGCGCTCCGAAGAAGCACCGGGGCCCCCAAACCTCCCCTCCAGACCGCGAATCGCCTCCTCGTCGAAAACGGGGCGGGCAAGGTGCGAGGGGGGGCGGGGGCGAAGCCACAAACTGGGCTTCGACTCGTGTCTCGACATGGCCTGCGGAAGAAGCGCTGCGTAAACTTGCAATCATCATGCCCACAATTGCGCTAACAGGACCAAATACGATGGAACGAATTCTTCCGGCTCTCTTCCACGGCGGGCACATGTCGGCTCAAGCCGATAGCCTTCATCAGTAACTCTCTGCTTCGTCCACTGGCCTCCACTGGCGGCCGTGATACTCGTGGGGACATCCAAAAAGTCCAGCCTTCTCCAGACGCCGCTGCTCACGGACGAACAGGCACGCGTCCGCGCCTCCCACGAGGTCCTGCCCAGCCGTGTGCTTGGCGGCCGCTGTCGACAGGAAACCGCGCATGTCCGCTTTGGCGTCATCGAAAAAGGATGAAAAAGGCCTGGAACGAACCGTTGCCAGCGAAGCCTTTGTCGTGCACTGGATGTCCCACTGGATGTCGTTGCCAGCGAAGCCTGGATGTCACACTTGTCCACAGGGTCGGTATCGCACTCCGTAGGCCGCAACAAGGTCGCAGCAGCAACCGGGCCCCACCCAATGTCCATCAACGTAGCCTGCAGCGTAGCAGTGGGCCCCCAACTTCTGACCATCTCCTGGCAGCTGCCTTGCTCAAACGATTGCGCATCGAGGCCCAAGAACGACTGGCCCTATCACGCGCACCAGGGTTACGCTGCCACGAGGCAATTCATTCCTTGAACACTTGCATGCGCACCTCCACGGCGGGATCCAGCGTCGCCAGATCGCGTCCCAGAGCAATCGTCAGGCAACGCTCTTTGGAATTACCACCCACCACGTGGCCAGCCTGGCGTCTCACTAGGAACTGGGACTTCCTACTCATGCTAAAAGTATGATAACCATATAGCGCCTGTGGGACAGCTCCAATCTCGGCCAGAGCGCCTACTCGTCGAAGTTACCATATCCTGCCAGTTCGTCTCATCGCACTCCTCAATCCAATGCTCGCTGTTGCCACGGTGCGCTTGCGGCCTGCCGACGCGTCCAATCCCAGATCCACTGCCGACATTGACGCAGACACTGGTGGCCCACATGCTCGGAGACGTCTCGTAGTGCGCGCAGTAACTGCTGGGTCTGAGCCAATAAGGGCCGTCTTGTGCGACGCGACCATGCGCTGACCCTCGAGACGCACATTCAGGCCCTTAGCAGTGATCGCTTTCCCAAACGACGCACGGCTGCCCTCGCACTGCGCCGCGGTATCATCCACGAACGTCCAAAAACCCGACGCGGGCGACTGGCGACGAACGAACTCCATAATCGGATGAAGAACCAGCTTCGCGAGTCCAAGACCTCGCGGCGACCCGGCAACCAGAGACCGAGCAGGAAAGATGGGCCTGCTCATAGCCGATCTCTCCTGCAAATACCTTGGCGCCAAGAATAGCTGAACCTCTAAAGACATCAGCGCCGCGGGAACCCAAACCTCTTGACAATGCTGATGAGCATGAACAAAGACACAGAATCGTACAATTTTTCAACGTCCAGCAACAGGGCCAGAGATGCAACTCCCAACTCCATCCCCGACCCATCCAAGCAAGCGCGCGATGGCCCAGCTCCCAACGCTGATAAACCGCTGATCGCAGCGTCCCAATGAGATCAGGCATGCCCCCCTCCGAGCTTCACTCAGAATAGCTCGAGCCTTGCTCCGCAACTTAGGCATCAACGCAATCGCGCCCAAACCGCGGTCATTATGATTGGGTTTGGCTGCAAGCGCGCGCGTGGCAACCGCGCACTGTCGTGGCCAAGAGCAGCGCAGCTCGCAGAACTGAATGAGATGACAAGGTTGCTGTCGAACATCGGTCGGCAGCCTCCGTATCGAGCCAGACCCCAGCGCGTCGGGGCCCATCGCCTTGGCGCTAATCGACTTGCTGATGACCATATCCAGCTAATCCTGCGCGAACCGTGAACTCCGGAAGCTCCTGCTGCGTAGCCTCCACCGCCAGGGAGTGCAAGGACTCAACCTGCTGTTCCCTCGCGTCCACTGGGTCCGTCCACATGCTCTCCCGCAAAGCCGCCTTGCGCTCCATGACCGCGTCGGGGGTCGCATTCGCGCGGCCGGCTCGAAGGTCGGCGCGACCTTCTCTTCGACGTGCCTGCGGAGGGCCCCCGACGTCTGCTTCGCCCACTTCGTGGAATTCTGGCGCTGGATGGTGAGGCCCCCCGCGCGGGCCACTGCGTGGTGTCTCTCGATGGCGCCCAAATATTTCCGCACCTCGCCAGGGCTCCTGTTCTCCAGGTTCAAGGCCTCCTCATGCGCCCATGCCATCCCCTGCTGGGCAGCGTTCTTCCCGAAGGCCTCGCCCTGGTCGAGGCATTTCATGTTCTGGATCTCCTTGCACAGCTCTGCCAAACACTGGCGCTGCTGACCGGGGCCCGTGCAAGTGGCCCTCAGCGCGCGGCACCTCGCCGCCAAGGTCGCGCAAATGCCCCTGTATTCAGCCGCCGCATACTTCATATGGGCCCTACCTGGGGTAGCGCGATGTAGCGCGAGCTCTGGCTTTGCGGGCACCCATGCCCTCTGCTCTACTGTGCCCATGTAGAGGTGGTGCTGCTCCTCATCGATGTTGCCGGCAAAAGGGATGGCCATCTCCACCTTGCTGACCCATTCCGCGCACGTGTCCGCAACGGCGGCCTCCGCCTCCCGCTGGCCCTGCACGGCGAAGCGCAGGCGCGCGCCATTGGACTTTATTTTTTCGGTGAGGTGCGAGGCGGGGGCCTGCGCCTCAGCCTCCGCGCCCTATGGTAAGTCCAGCGGGGTCACGTACTTGCCGTCCTCCTCGCCCGCTTCCTCCCGCATGTGCACGTGCTCGCGTGCCCCCCTCAGGTGCCCCCTGCTTCTCCGCCCTCCTCTCGCGCTCGGCCTCCTCTGAAAGCTGCGCTTGCTCGGCGGATCGGCCCGCTTCATGGGGCGGACTGGAGACGGGGGCGGCCCCGGCAAAGCGGCCGTGCGATGGCGCCCTGGCCGCGCCATTCCATCCAGGCGGAGCCGCAGACCGCATCAGGTCTTCCGAGAAACTCGACGAACTGCTTCCTCGCCCAGCCGATGTGCAACATCACTGCGCGCCATGCCACTGTCCAGGTGGCTGCCCGCCCCCTGGCCGCGGGCGACGCCCACGTCGGGGCGGAGGAGGGCGCCCCCCAGTCTTTCCAGCAAGTTTGGCTCCTGCATCCTCTGGAGCGAGATGTTCCGGCCCGCCGAGCTAACCCGCGGGCCCGCGATCGACTGCGCGACGGCCGCCAAGGCGCGGGCCCCATTGAAATCGGCACCTCCCGCGCCCTCCGCGGGGGCCAAGTAGGCTGAGATGGGCGCCTTGGTTGCCGCCTCGCAAATGAAGGGTGACCGCCGAGGAGCCGCGGAACGGGTCGCGGAAACCCTTCTGCTTGAGCTGCAAGCGGGTCTCAACGTAGCCCGCGGCCGCAAGGTGGGGCCTGGCGGCGACGACCGCGCCGCTGGAATTGCCGCGCCCCCGCGTCTTCGCAGGCGCCGTTGGCGCGGCCAGCAGCGCCCGCCCATCCGGCGCCGCGCGGTGGCCCCGAACCTGCGGGCGCGACCCGCACATTATAACCGCGCCCACGTCTCTGCCTAACTCGTTGAGGCACTCGCGTGCCAACGGGCCCTATGTCGCGAAGTTGGCGAGTCCGCGCTAAACCCGATTATCAGTTTCAGTAGCTCCCGCATCCGCGTCAGCTCCCGCGCCCTCCCTCGCAACTGGCGGGCGCGGTGCCGGCGTCGAGGACGAGGGTGCGGAACGAGCCTGGCGCCTGGAGTCAGCCTGGGGCCTGCCCCGAGTCTCCTCCTCGAGGCGCTGCAGCGTCGCGGCCTTGCGACGCGCTGCTGCCGCGCCCTCGCCAGGCGCCGTCTGCGGATGATATTATTCGTCCGTGGGCTCGTCCTCCCCGTTGTTGCCTGGAGTCGGTGAACCAGGGACTGCCGCGGCAGTCGCCTCCTCTTCGCCGACATTCCTGCGCTTCGCCTCCAGGTGCACCTCCTGTATCTCCTCCCTTGCTTGGCCGGCTCATCGAACTGCTTGCACTGGGCGCGCGCGTTGCTGACCAGGGCCACCAGGCTCTGCACATCTGACTTGCACTTGAGTAGCTTCTCTCTGTCGCCAGGCTGGTAATCCTCGATGTCCTCGAAAATCGCCTGCTACCTCGGGTGCCTGCCAGGCCTGGTCTGGCGGGGCATCCTGCTGGGGAGGCTTGGACTTGGCATGGCACTCGTCAAGGACCTTGCTGTGAGCAGCCTCAGCCTCTTCCATCTGCCGAGCAGCCGCGTCCTGGACGTGCTGAGCCTCCGCCAGCCGCTTCTGCGCCGCCAACAGTCCAGCCGTCGCGACGTCCAGGTCCTTCTGCGTTTGTTCTTTACGATTGACTGCCTACTTGAGCGCCAAGGACTGGGGCATCTCCCTCTTGGGCTTCTCGGGGAGCGCGCTCTCCACCTGGTCCTTAAAATCGCGTAGGGCTTGGAGGTCGATGTCGACCTTATAGCTGCCCTCATTAGTCTCAAACTTCTTGATGGGTGCCTACGATTCCTGCTCGGGCGTGGTCGGGGGCCGAGAGGGCACCCGCGGCGGCGTCTCCACGCGGGTCTCCTGGGACTCCTGCGGCTGCCACTGCGGTGCCGAAATGTAGCCGCCACACTTGTCACGCCACCTGCCCGCGCCTTGAAACTTCCAATCCTAGACCCAGCCCCCGCAGTATCCGCGCACTGTGTACGGGCGAGACTTTGGCACGCCGTGGCGCTGAGCGCAGGACGGCGGCCCGCAGCACGTCCGCCCAGGCTCCAGGGACTTGCGTGGGGGCCCAAATCCCACAATCGAAGCCGACTAAACAATGCCAAGCAGAAACGCCTTGCCTGCTGCGGACTAGCGGTATCCACGAGTTCCCGAAGGGAGCCAAACATCTTGAACCACAGTGGCTACGGAGGAGGAGAACGAGGAGGAGGAGGAGGAGGCGGAGAGGGATGAGGAGGAAGAGAAAGGGGAGGAGGAGGAGGAGGAGGAGGAGGAGGAGGAGAATGATAACTTGAAGTGATACGGGCGCCTTATCCCCATGTGATAAGGCCCGCGGCCATCTCCCCCCCAGGGTTGACACGGGGACCTACGCCACAGCAGGCCACCCTATGGGTAACAGAGAGAATTGGACCTCCCCAGAGCCCAACAACTACTCGCTGTATAGAGGAAAGGCGCGTGTCATGTCTAAGTGTCCAATGCAATTTGCTGTTGCATCGCACGGCACGTGCACTCCACGCGCGCGATCCATTCAGCCAAAACTGCTTTAACAACTTTAACGCCGATGTGGGCGCAAACTGCTTTAACAATGTTACCGCCTGCTGCGCCGCACCGTCCCCGTGACATTTGCAGCGCCTTGCGTGGCGTGGGGGGGATAGCGGATGGAACGGTACGTCTAAAATCTGGGTAGTTGCAAGGTCCTGTGCTGACGATTTGAGGATGAGGAGCAGCAAGAGGAGGATGAGGAGCAGGAGGAGCAGGAGAAGGAGGATGAGCAGGAGAAGGATGCTAATAAGGAGGAGGAGGAGAAGGAGGAAAAGGAAGAGGAGGAGGAGGAGGAAAAGGAGGAGGAGGAGGAGGAGAAAGAAGAGAAAGAAAAGAAAGAAGATGCGGAAACGGAGACGGAGACGGAAAAAGGGCCATGATGACGATGCTGTTGCTGCGGATTATGATGATGCTGCTGGTGGTGATGATGATGCTGATGATGAAGAGGCTGAGAAGGAGGAGAAGGAAGACCGGGAGAAGGATGAGGAGGAGGACGAGGAGGAGAACGAGGATGAGAGGGATGAGGAGAAGACTGAACAGGAGGAGGAGGAGGAGCAGAAGGAAGATGATAAGGAAGAAGAGAGGAGGGCAAGGAAACGGAGGAGAAAGAGGATGAGGAAGGGAAGGAGAAGGCGGAGGAGGAAAAGGAAGATGAGGATGAGGACGAGGAGGGGACGGAGGAGAAGAACGAGGATGCGAATGAGATGAATGATGCTGGTGGTGGTGATGGTGATGATGCTGATGATGATGATGATGATGATGCTGTTGCTGCTGCTGCTGATGACGATGATGATGATGAAACTGATGATGATGGCGATGAGCATGATACTGCTGATGCTGAGGCTGAGGCTGATGTTGATGATGATGCTGGTGATGATGATGATGGTGGCAATGATGATGATGCTGATGATGATGCTGATGGCGAAGATGATGACGACGGTGATGATGCTGATGGTTATGATGATGGCGGTGATGATGAGGATGCTGCTGATGATGTGGATGATGATGGTGATGATGGTCATGCTGGTGACTATGACGGTGGTGACGATTATGAGTATGATGACGATGATGATGCTGAGGCTGGCGATGATGATGAAAGTGACGATGCTGGTGATGGTGCTGCCGATGGTGATGATGATGATGATGATGATTCTGATGATGGCGACGATGATGAGGATGATGATGATGATGCTGACGCGGCTGATGGTAACGCTGATGATGAAGAAGAAACATATGGTCGAGATGACGATGATGATGCTGATGATGATGGCGATGAGGATGATGGTGATGATGATGATGATGATGATGACGATGATGATGATGATGATGATGATGATGAAGATTATGACGATGATGATGCTGATGATGATGATGGCGATGAGGATGATGATGATGATGACGATGATGATGATGATGATGATGATGATGATGACGATGATTATGATGATGATGATGTTGATGATGATGACGATGATGATGCTGCTGCTGATGATGATGATGCTGATGCGGATGATGATGCAGAGGATGATGCTGATGAGGATGACGATGAGGATGATGATGATGATGATGATGATGATGATGATGATGATGATGATGATGATGATGATGATGATGATGATGATGATGATGGACAGGAGGATAATGACAAGGAGGAGGAAAGGGAGTAGGAGGAGCAGGAGCAGGCAGAGGATGAAAAGGAGGAGGAAAAGGAGCAGGAGGAGAGGGAGGAAGAGGAGGAGCAGGAGGAGAAGGAGGAAAAGGAGAAACAGGAGGAGGAGGAGGAGGAGAATGCGAAGGAGGAGGAGGAGAAGGAGGAGGAGGATGAAAAGAAGGAAAAGGAGGAGGAGGGGGAGGAGGAGGAGGAGGAGGAGGAGGAGGAGGAGGAGGACGAAAAGAAGGAAAAGAAGGAGGAGGAGGAAGGGCAGGAGGAGGAGCAGGAGGAGGAGAAGGAGGAGGAGGAGGAGGAGGAGGAGGAGGAGGAGAAGGAGAAGGAGAAGGAGAAGGAGGAAGGGAGGAGGAGGAGGAGGAGGAGGAGGAGGATTAGGAGGAGGAGGATAAGGAGGAGGAGAAGGAGGAGAAGGAAAATACAAGGATAATGACAAGGAGAAGGAGAAGCAGAAGGAGGAGGAGGCGGAGGAGTACGAGACGGAGAAGAAGAAGGAGGAGGAGACGGAGGAGGAGAGGACGAAAAGGAGGAGGATAATGAGGAGGAGGAGGAGGAGGAGGAGACGGAGGAGAAGCAAGAGGAGAAGAAGAAGGAGAAGGAGGACGAGGAGAAGGAAGGGCAGTAGGAGGAGGAGGAGAAGGAGGAGCAATTTCATGATAAAGAAAAGTTTCATAGGGCAAAGCCGTTCCTATCCAAAGTAACTTCTGCCAAGGTCGAGCTTAGCTCGGCCGACGAAAAGCTATTGATAAGCAGCGCAAGCGGAGTTACGCCACTCGAACAGCCGAGTCGCTTATCAAGGAGTCCCCCGCCGCCAACGGCAAGGATGTCAGAATCAAGTGGAAGGTGCAGGACTCGCGCGAGCGCCGCGTGACTGTGAACAGCACCGGGGCCTTCAAGCGGGACGAGAACGTCGCCACCGGCAGTTCCTTAGAGCCCTTTGCCAACCTCGTGATCCCTTAGAGGCTTCCCGGGGCCGCTCATCACAACACTCCTTCTCAAAGCCGAACTCTTCACGTGCACTGGCCCGCCCGCCACTCTGTGGCAGACGAGCGGCCCCAACCGTCGACGTCCCGGCGTCTCCGTCCCCGTGGCCCTCGTTCTCTTCATGGTCTACACTTTCGGCGACACGCATGGCTGCGTTCTTCTGGCCGTCCCCCCCCTGGCGACAGCTCGCGGAAATCCGAGCAAGAGTCGCCAAACCTCGACACGCATGTCTCCACCGTGCTCGTGAATTTGCGCGGTTACTCGACGCACCGCGCTGGAACTCTATCATCGCCTCGCACTGTCCGGCTTCTCAGACATTGTCGCTATAACCGAGACGCGACTGAATCAGAGTGTCGTGAGCCCTTCCTTGCCGGGCCATGCTGTTATCTCCAGGCTGGATCGGCGTGACGGTCGACAAGGTGGTGGTTTCTTTTGTTCGCCAACGTTTCGTTTTCAAACAGCATTGTTCATATAGCTGATGCCGATGATAGTGAACGTTCTTGGCATGTTGTTCGTACTGATCGCGGGCCTCTTCTTCTCGCTCAATGGTATCGCCCGCCGGACTCGGGAGAGATCGTTTCCGTACAGTCTTTCGAACACGAGTGGCATCAACACCATGGCCTTGCAAATGGCACTTTGATTATCGGCGATATCAACCTTCACCGCAAGCCCCGACTCCTGTTTTCGGACGGCACCTCCCGAGAAGGTAAAGAGTTATTCAAAGTATGCTCGATAATTGGCCTGCTGTAAAAAGTGGGCAAGCCCACGACGGGCAAACACTTGCTCGACCTCGCTCTTCCAGACCTCGCGTCGGGAGTGGTGTGCACCAGTTCTTCTTCCGATCGCGGATCTTAACGTACTGCACGCGACGATTGGCATGCACGTTTCTCGCACTGCTCCCACTGTCTGGGAGCAGTGGTTGTTCAAGCAAGCCGATTGGCATAGACTCCGCACGGCTCTCCGAGACTGTGATTGGCGAGGTTTTATCTCGAGGAGGAGGAGGAGGAGGAGGAGGAGGAGGAGGCGGAGGCTGCGGAGGAGGAGGAGGAGGAGGAGGAAGAGGAGGAGGAGGAGGAGGAGGAGGAGGAGGTGACCCGAATTTTGCGGCAGAGGAGCTTGCGGCTTTCCTTTTGCGCACGGCCAGAGAGCACATCCCTGAGTTCACTGCGTGCGAACGGAAGGAAGTCCACGCAGCCGTGGCTCCATCGACGTTGTTTCAAGCTCATTGACGAGAAAACCAGTACCCATGGTACGCCGGAGCACGATGAGCGGCAAGAGGCTTGCTCAGCTGGATTGCTGCACGAGCATCAACAGCACGCGATTCGCACTCGACAACGCATTCAGGAGACGCGCCCTACTTGCAAAACATGGTGGTCTTTATGTGACTCCCTGATGCTCAGGGCTGGCAATTCACACGTGTCTATTCCTCCGTTCTTGTCTACTTCTGGCGCTTGGGCTTTGGATCCAACGGACAAAGCTGACCTGTTTGCAACCACTAGCAAAGAAAAGTTCAATCTCCCAGCCGCTCAGAAGAACGACTTCTCGGAGATCTCCGTGCCCATGGGCCACATCATTGCAGATTTTGGTACTGCTCGACGACGTGGGGCCTTGCGAGCTCTTCGGAGACTTCGCGAAGATTTCAGCACTGGCCCCGGTGCTGTGCCAGCACGCCTTTTAAAGAGATGCGCCGAGAAATTGGCGACTCCACTCGCTCTACTTGCCCGGGC